CACCAGAATATTGTTCTTATTAATGGAGGTTTGTTTGTTTATTTTACCTAGGAAGCAGAGACTTATAGTATGGGCACAGGACTAGGCACAGTCTCCAATACTTAGTTTTTTCATTACAGTTTTTCAAGATACTTAGTTGTTCTGGCTTTATCTGTCTTTTGCTAAAATCATTCACATGCACTTTGTGAAAGTAGTGTGAAGATAACTCGAGTAGATTTCTAAAGGCTTTTGTCTCACAAAAGTCAGTGGAAAATGACAGCTCATGGCCTTGATAATATTCCCGAGGAGTCTTCACAGTCATGGGAAACAAGCCAGTAAGAATAGAATCATCTAGTTTCTGCAGCTCTAGCACTCTCTATTTCTGGTGTATGCCAGGCATGACATTGCTGACGAAAGAACACAGTGTAGGAGTTTTTGTCTGCTTCTCCTTTGGTGCAGTTTTGGTACAACTTCTTCTTTTGGTGAAATTTCACATTGACTTTTTGCCTGTATCACACATTTCCAGATGTCAGAACATTTCTTTTCCTTAACACAGGCATGCGCTTGGCAGGTGCTTGAACGGGGAAGTTGAGAGATTGCTTGAAAGACAAAGCGCAGGCTTAGACTTTATGTTTGACAGTGCCATTGCAGGATACTGCAGAGGAAGAGAAACTAAGGCTCAGGCAAAGTAGCGGAGAAGGTAGTATATGTACTCTTCATGCTGACCACCTCTTCCAAACCTCTGAAGAATGGAATTGGGCAGCAGGCTTCAGGAGGTCTGTTCACAAGAAGCAGATCTGCACCTGAGCATCACAGCTGAGTTCCATGAGACACATGGTTTGTAACATGGAACAAAGAGTGAAGTTCAGAGAAACCACAGATAAAGAAAAACATATACAGAGAAACTGTGAACTTCCTGGCTAGATTTCCGCAACTGGATAAGATCTGCGTTAGATTATTATAGCTGACCAGTATACAAGAAATTGAGCTCTGGCCTGTGGTTTTGGAGATTTCCTCCAAGGCAGAGTTTAGAGAGATTATATTTCATTGAGTATTTTTTGACTTATAGAGTACAATAGTTGATTTTTATCTACCACAGTAATTTCCACATTTTTTGCAACATGCCCTTTCCTCACTGTCCTTGATCTGAGAGTAGCTTGCATAACAGTCTTCAAATTGCAGGTACACACCACATTGAGGGCCAGATATCTGAACACCCACATTCCTTTATATAATTGAGGTGCACCATATTCATCATGATTATCAAGGATTGCCCTTTCCAAGTGATATGCATCTTCCCTGAAACGGATGTGGTATGGGCAACAAATCCATCACTGTGGCATGGTGCTTGACCTCTGCACAAGAGCTCAGGGACTGATGCAACCTCCTGCAGTGACTGTGAAAGGGGCTTTAGCACTCTTCCTCACTTCCCTCTTCAACCCTTGAGTTTTTACCTTCCCCAGAGCACATGTGCTCCACTGAGAACATGAAGAGCTGGTGATGGTGAGGTGTGAATGGAAAGAAATGGCTAGAATCTCTTCAGCATAAAAATAAATGCAGCTAGAGAATAAGAGTTCTGGGATTTTGCTGCTTTGCCTCTGCTTTTCAGCAAGAGAGAAGAGAATAAGAACAACCTCTTTCTCTCAATCCTGCTTTCTTCCTCTCTTACTTCATCATGTCACTCCATATCATGTCCCTGCCTCGCCTCACCTCCTTCCTCCCAGCACCATCCCTTACTTAGTTCTCAGAAGTTCTTTGGCAACACAGTTCCCTCTATTGCATTGTATCTATATCCTGTGACCCTTTAAAAGCTATTTATCCATTTTCTCTCCCTTGGTAGGCAGGTCACTAATTCAAACCTAGGAATTCTTTTGCTGCTGGAGGGGAAAGAGCTCCACAATCAGGGTGTGAAGTAATCAGTGGAGGCTGACATTCATACGTACGTTTCATAGGTACTGAAGCACATCTGGGTATGAAAATGTCTGTTGTCTGTATGAATCTCATATTCATGTTCATTACCATAAAATGTTGCAATAGACAGACTATTTTTTTTTAATATGTTCTCAGGATCAGCTGTTTTCTGACTGTTTGCTCAATTTATGTGATAGTATTGGGCTAACTACATGGTTACAGCCAGTTCTGAGAACTTCTGCTTATGTGCTAGGCACTGGGAAAATATTTTGCTTGAACTGGAGTTTAACGCAATGTCTGCGTCTATGTTAACCATGTGAACTTGACTAGCTAGTTCTCTTTGGAAGTCTTTGGAGATAAATTTACACTGCAACATTAGGACTCTCTTAGGAATAAGCTTGCTTGCGTGGCACTTGCCACATGTGTGAGAGCTCCGAAAGATGTGTTAATATTGCAGGGTGTAGATTAGGTAATGTTCCATCTTTCTGTATATCGGGGAGACGAGTGCGTAGACATTTAAACCCAACACAGAATCATGGTTGTTTTTCAAAATGTGCCCCAAAACCTGCCTAAAGCTTGTGTCTGAACACAAGCATATGCCCAAGCAATGCAAATACAGAGAGAGTGATAGTGGGTGCAAGCTCTGGGTGGTACTTAGAAAATAATCTATATGCACCTTAAGAGATCATAACCATCTGGAGATAGTGTCCACAATCAGTGCAGCGCACTGACAGAGACAGAGATTTCAAAGAAAACACTTCTCAACAGAACAATTAATGTTTTTCATTCTCAATATTAGTTTTCATTTAATTAACAGAACAATATAAAGCTAGAACGGGGAAGCTGAGTCCCAAAGGCAGGACAAAATGGCTACAGAATAAAGCACTGTAGATTCTGCGTATTTAAGGATGTATTGCACATCGTTCCTTTGACTGCTAAACACTGTCACATAGGTTCAGATTTTAGGCCTGAAACAAAGTCCATAGCTTGGGAGGTTGTTTTTTTTTTTAAGATCATTGACCTTTCAGTTAATATTAGACAAAAGGGAACTGGACAGTGCAAGAGGAAATATTGTCTCAGCTCTAAGAGCATGCATCTGAGAACAAGTTGTCTTTGGAAGGAAACGCTAAAATGAAGACAGCTGTTGTTCTATGATTTGTTCTGTATAAGTATCTGAAAACAAAGAAAAATGATTTTAAACAGAAGTGAAGAGTCCAGCTATTATGGTTTTGTTTTTGTTTTATTTGTTTTACCTATCTATATTTCTAGTAAGACAGCTAAATTGGTAGACATATGGTCATAAATACACAATCATAGAATCACAGAATCATAGAACGGTTTGGGTTGGAAGGGACCTCAAAGATCATCTAGTTCCAATCCCCCTGTCATGGACAGGGACACCCTCCACTACACCAGGCTGCCCAAAGCCTCATTCAATCTGGCCTTGAACACTTCCAGGGATGGGGCATCTACAACTTCTCTGGACAATCTGTTCCAGTGTCTCACCACCCTCAGAGTGAAGAATTTCTTCCTTAGATCTAATCTAAATCTGCCCTCTTTCAGTTTAAATCCATTGCCCCTTGTCCTATCACTATATGCCCTTTTAAAAAGTCCCTCTCCAGCTTTCCTATAGGTCCTCTTTAAGTTGTTGTAGCCTGCTGTGTTTCCTCAACTCTGATTTTAGCCTGTCTGAGGTTGTTGCGTACAAACCTGCTATCCATGTTCCCAGTGTGTTCTCTTGCAGAAAGTGGTGATGAGGGTGAAGAATGTGATCTCTCTGAAGAGAGTTTCCATTGCCTGGCCCGACAGAAATTTAGCAAGTCAGCTGCACTTAACGCTTTAAATGAGCATGTATGTTCAGCTAGATGAAAGGGAACTTTGATATTAAACAATTTGTGTAAGTCGAAGGATTTGTTATGTTTTATGGGGATTTTTTTTTCCTGAAGTCTTTCATCAAATCTTTATCGCTGAAGATATGCAGATGTTATTTGCTGCTTGTCACTGTAGAACAGAATAAACAAGTGCCTGTGTTGTATCTAGTAGATCTTTTCTGGAGGCTTTCGCCCTAGGAAAACATGTGAAAGCTCCTCCATAAAAGGAGAAGAGTTGTTTAAACCACCCAAAGGGAGGGAGCTTCCTAATCTTTGACAGATTTAAAGTTTAAGGCTCTTAAACAGTAAAGCAGAAAAGCTCAGTGAAATTGTTTCAAATTATTAGAAACTGAGCCACGGCTCCACAAGGGTATTTGTGAATTGAGTCTCTGAATTCTGATCCTTAGTATACTGAACTGCAATATTTTGTGTGACTGTGGAAATACGTCAAGGGGAATTGTTTTTCAGTTCCTATGCAGAATAAAGTTCAATATTTCTCAAATAGGCTGTTCTACACGAGATTTTTTTAGCCAGATAATCTGGCAGACAAGTTTAACAGAGATATAAAAGACCAATTTGGGCCTCATCTGCATTACAGAGACTAATTATTACTGCAAATTATTATTACTATAAACAAATAGTTTACGGTGTTTGGGGGGTAATTTGATACAAGTTTAATCTCTGTATTTTGCTATTGATACCAGAAAATATTCTGTTTGCTAAAGAAAACATACTTTTTGGAATACTGCTAGTACTTTCCCAAAATGAAAAGACATTTAAGGAAAGAAGTAGAAAACTTGATGTCTTTCTGAGATAAAAATATTTAATTAAATGAAAAGGGGATAAATATTCAATTATGTACACATTTTATTTTTATTTCTTTATTTACTATGTTATAATTAGATTTTGACATACAAAATCATTCAACTTTAGAATTCATACATTAGATCTGAATAATTCAGCATAAAATTTTGCTTTTAAATAGGTCTTTTATTGCCTTCAGTACAGTTTTTGTAGTAAAATGTTTTTCTTGATATTGCTATACAACTTACAGTTAGGTAAATAATGGAGTTGTCTTTTAGTATTTCATATTATTCTTTGTATTTCTGTAATCAATTTCATTATTAATAGAAATATTTCCCAAGTTAATGAGTTTGAAAAAATACATCTTGCTTAGTGTAGCACTGAGTTAATAATTTGCCTTTAAAGATGCTTATAGCATATGGCAGTATTGGCTTCTGTCAAAGCTTAGATGAGGTTACCAACTGGCAAACGGGGTAGACACATGTATGCATAAGGTGTTTTGCTCAGGTTAATGGGATTACCATCCAGTCTGATGTCTTCAAGAGCCCTGCGTACATAAGTAAAATCTTTCATTTTGCAGAAAGTGTCTTCATGCATCTCTTGAATGTTGTTGTTCTAAAAATAATTAAAAAAAACCCTGTGAGAATAATTCCTTGAGAGCAATTTTTTGCTGTTTGATGAATAATTTATGGATGTATTTTCAGTGCCTAGAGAGATACTTGTTTGAACCCAAGGGTCCAGATTGTAGCTGCAAGTCATCAACAGAGAAATATCCCAAGCAGGGGAAAATTTCTTGGCCAGTGCAAAGCTTTAAAACTGAGTGACTCAATCATGTATCAGAGGCAGGCTTTGCAGTAGGATCCTGGTAGAAGTATAAAACATTTCCCTCTCTGGGATCATGTTGAAGAGCCTCATTAACGCAAATTAGAGCTAGCATAGGCCGGTCCAAGAACCATAGAATCATTATTATCATCCTGACAGCTTGACATGTTTCAATGTGCAAAGGCACAAATCTGCAATTTGATCTTCGACAAATTTCTTTTCCCCAGGCGCTCTCACATTAGTTTAACCCACATCTGTATATATATAGGGAAAATAGAATGCTTTACGTTTTATCCCTTTGATGCAAATTACTCTTATACACCTTATCTTCACTGAGCTTTTGTTCTTGAAGTGAATAATTTTCCATGATGAATTGGTAGAATACAATATTGTCGGAAATTGAGACTAAAAAGTTTATCTCCTAAAATGAGAGCTGTCTGAAAATTCTTCCCTTCCCCATTCCTTTGCTAGTCAGAAATTGGTGTGCAAAAAATCTAGCTTGCCAGCTTTGGCCTGTAGCATATAACACTGAATATTTAATTTACAGGCATGGGCAGGTGAAAAAAGTTGTCAGCTAGGAGGCAGACATTTCTATAGATTTACTTATTTAAAGATATAGGAGTCAAATTATGTACAGTACACCAGCGCATTTGTTCAAAGCTTTTTTACTGTACTGTGTAATAGACAAAAATATCTTCTGATAATCAAAACTGGGCATTGGTACAAGAGGAGATAAAGAGAAAGAAGCAGAGATGGAAAAGGTTAAAAGAAAAAAGTCAGAAAAAAAGGAATAGGTAAAAGCAAATACAAAAACCAGTAATACAGGCAGATGATGGATGAGATGCTCCAGCACAGTCAAAGGGAAAAGCCTGGCTGAAAAATGCTGGCAACTGGGAATGACATTCGTTAAGAGAATGAAATGCACTGGTATAGATACAATCAATATGTAAAGCACCTTTCTTTGGGTATCTAAAAGCATTCCTCTTGGAAGATTTGTATGAGCAGTGTGAGCAATTTCTGTCTTTGAAAACTGTTAGACTGATGTTGCTCTTGACAGCTGTTGAACCTAACTTTAATCTGTACTAACTATGAATCTAGAATTTTGTGCCTGAAAAACACTGTATTACGAATTTGAATGATTAATGCTTAGCTGAGCTAAATTTTACTTCTTTCAAATACTGCATTCACTAGTTAGCTGTATGTTTCCAATAGTTAAGTAAGTACGCATTTGGATTAAAAAAAAAGAAATAGAACAAGACAGTAGCTACTCTTTGCAGTTTTACTTACTATTTGGACATGATATATAGAACCATTGCTTTTATAGCCTACCTGAAGATGAAGAGCTTGGAGACTTTCAGGGAGTGGCAATGGAATGTGATCCAAGTTATTGTCAGTGATGTAAAGATGCTGCAGTTCATGCAGATCCTAGAGGATGAAGGAAAAAGGCAGGAGAAATTTATAGACCTTTTTTTTTAAATCTCTCGCAAGTAAATTTGAAATCTATCACTGCAATGAGCACTGCTGGATACTAACATATTTTGGTTTAGCATGATACGGTTGAAAAGGTAAAAATTCAAAGACAGTCATGATCTTTCATTTGCACGGGTTGAGAACTGTTACTGTTAAACATTAGGTGTTTGGATTAAAATAAAGGAAAAGAATATTCTTTGAAATATCTAGAGACAATAATTAGAGATGTAATTTCAATGATGTTGTTCTAAAGTGAAAATACTGCCTTACCCAGTCATAATATAGAAAGGCTTCCTATCCTGTCCATTTTCTTGCTTTTGTGACAAGCTTACTCAATTTTGCAGAAGTGTGTTAGTATTGAGGCAAATTATAACTGCACAAGAAATGCCTAAGCTAAACATTAATTTCTTGTTTCATTTGAAAATGGAAACCATTTTCTCCCTTCACTTAGTGGAAGAAGCAGCTTCATCTGGTAATTATTAACAATAGTAAGATATAAACTTGACTAGGTCAATAAGGCTCAGTAGAATACTCAATTTTGCTCCCTTTTTGCACACACAAGTTATCATGGTACCTAACTACTTCTTTGAGTGTAATGTCCTAGTTTAATTTCTACTGACAGAACTCTGAGGTGTCAGGGTGAAGGTTCTTGGCAAATATGGAAGATAAAGGCTGAGACTCCTTCATGGCTAAAATCAGGAGAGTGCAGATAAGAAGTTCCCATGTGGATACATGGCAGAGTAAGTTTGAAGCAGTGGCATCCATAGCTTTGTCCTCCCCTCTTGCCTACTTGTAACAGAACGTCAAGCAGCTTTCTGAAGTCTTGCTAGTCATGTGGGTGATTGGTTTATGGATATAAACATAGTGTGCCATCGCATGTCTTGTGTGTATCTTTGTAAAGAGCAATAAAAAGGTTGTCATGTCCAGCTGAGAGTGTTCATACATCTCACTTTATCTTCATAGATTGCTCAGCAGTGAGCACACTCATGGTGCCTACAATCTTAACAGTTTTATGACTATATAGGCATACTTAGGCAGCTCTTCTGACCACATCCTTTGGAAAGAGGAAAAACAGATTTTCCCATCAAACCCAGACTTACTTTAAATGCCTCATTACGTATTCCCTTGCGACCAAGTCTGTTCTTACTAACATCAACGAATGTTAAGGTAGACGGTAACTCAGGGAGTTGCCGTATCCTATTGTCACGGAGCACCAGCTCCTCAAGTTGGGGCAATCTCCGGAAGGCATCTTCATGGATTTCTGATATAAAGTTTGCAGTCAAGTCAATCCTCTTTAAATTGTCTGGCAGCGAAATAAGACACAACAAACATGTAAGAATGTATTTCCTGAAAGTTTTAAAAAAGGCAAATGAGTTATTTAAATTACAGATGAAGTGTCTTGAATTGGATACATTCCTGACCCATAATGTGACAGTTCTTTCTCTGTATATAATGCAATAATCTGTATTTAAACAGTTCTCCTGAAGGAGACCAACGTCTCCTTCTCGTTCTGTTTAGAATTGCCTGTGTCATTCTTCCTACATCGATCAGTGAAAGATTTTAAACTTAATATTTTAAAATATCTGTGTGTTCTGGGTTTTTTTAAGATGGTTATCTTTTGGAAAAATAACATTTAAAGGGAAATAAACATTTTCTCTACCACCTTGTTCTGCACGTTTATTTTCAACATTTTCTTATATGTAAGAAATTCGATATATTTACTTTTTCTGAAACACGCTCAAACACTTTTTCCAATCAAAAAAAAGAAAATTAAATTTGTCTTTTGCAAAAGAGAATAATGTCTAAATATCGCTCCATTAATATGCATTAGTTTTAAATGCATTATTTTGTAGCTTACTTCTGTTTTCCATCCAGAATGTTTTTCATAGCTATTTTATTTTATTTTATTTTATTTTATTTTATTTTATTTTATTCTTATGCTAGCAGTATATTTTGGCCTAAATAAATTTTCTCTCTTTTTAGTATTTATTCCCCATGTTTTTTTTTCTTAAATACCAATTGTGTTCCTTCCCAACCTTCACCTTGGTTCAAGTAAACCAAAGTCTTGTAGTTTTCCTTCGTAAAAGGATCTTTGTATTCCCCTAAATTATTGTAGTAGCCTTTTTTGGCACTGATTCCACAATTCTCATCATGAAATCAATACAAATTAATTACACAAAGTTAGATCTAAAGTGAAAAACAAAGAATGTGGTTTGATATTTAGTGATATGATGAGTGTATAGCAGTCCCTATTCCTAAACAGAATAAGCTTAATACTTCCTGAGAAATCAGATATCTTTGAGACTCTCAGGTAGAAAATGTGAAAAAGTAAGCTCCCTAAACCACCAATTTTAGCCAGTTTTAGGTGACAAATGGTTTTGAATTGATAGTTTTCCTAGATAATTCTGCAGTAAACATATAATTTAAAGGTAAGATTTAAAGGTAAATTTAAAGGTAAAATTCCTTTCACACATATACTTTGGAAATATTTGAAAGTGTATCTGCCTGAGAACTAGTCTTGTTTAGGAAAACAGTACTTTCTAATATGCTACAAATATTCCATGAGATTTGAGGTTTTTTTCCTATCTTTCTAAAGCTGATTACAAAGAACAGCAAAAAGGTAGATGAACATTGATATTTCTAATAATTCAAAAATTTGGCAAAGAATCTGCATTTGAAGTATTGACCTTTACAATCAAAAATAGCAAACCACTTTTCCATATGTGCATTTATGTGTATAATCTGTCATCAAACATTACATAAAATGAGTCACTATGTCTTAGATTAGTGTAAGCCAGAAACAATAAAAATTAAAGCTAATTGCAACAATACTACTATTCGTACTTAAGTTAGCGAAGTCATTTCTGTTGATCTTCCTGATTCTGTTGTAACGTGAGTAGAAATACATGGTTTTCTTAGGCAATGGCGGAACAGCATCAAGCTCATGATCATCACAGTAGACCGTGGTCCCTAGGCATGTACACAAGAGGCAAGTGGGAAGACCTATCAAAGAATTTAAAAGAAAACACTTTGTTACAAAAAAAAATGTACAAAAATTGTATGCAAATTACCACAATGAAATGTTCACCTAAGCACATAATGATAAGACTTTTTGAATTGTAAAGTTCACTCCCATTCTGTTATGATCACCACATCGTATAATTGCAACAACAAACTGATTATATTCTGCTTTAAACTAATTTTTTTTCTACCTATGTCTATTAGAAAGTCATTTAACTTACTTTTCTGACAGTGTTTCTCAGACTATAACAATAGAATATTAGGTAATAGCAGCAAACCAAAAGCTGGTAAGGGTGCACTTTAATCTAGGTGGAGAAATAACAGCTGATGACCGAAACTTATTATGATTTCACAAGTTTGGTTCTTTAAGTAGTATATCTGAATAATTTGTAAGGAAATGGATATTTTCCTACAAAGCTATGGAGAAGAATCTTTATTTCTTTTGTATGTTTTTTAATTACATTTTCTAATTTATAAATTTAGCATGAAAAATTTCTCTATCAGCCTGAGTTAAGGTAACTTGAAGACCATGTAAACAAAACACTGGTTACCACCAAAAGTTCATGAAAAAGAAAAACGAAGTCGTTTCATCTCAGTCATAAAACTGCATGAATACAGTGAATTCAAAAGTTTCTTTTGATGATACTGTTCAAATTGTGTGAGAATTATGATACTGAGTGGTTTGTCTGAATGTAATTTTCATTAGGAAAAGTTATTAGTTGCTATGTGCATTGAGTTTTTGATACATTTTTTCTTTGATTGAGAGTATAATTCAGCATATCTCTTTCTCAGTTTTTAGTCCCATATAAATACTTTCCTGTTTCATGTTTTCCTCCTTCTTGTAGCAGATGGCTGATTGTTTGTTCTGGTTACTTTATACAATAGTAGCATAATCAATTAGTATGAAAATGTTTTTCTTGCAGATGAGGTTTTTTTCTCCAGATCAATTGTAGCTACATGGGAGATTTGCCTTCTTAATTTGTGTCAATTACCAACAGGCAGTGGTAGCTAACTGAATGATGGGCCAAATATGTGAAAGAAGAAGAATCAGTGACCAGAGTACACTTTCATTTGAGAATCTCTAGTTGGGCATTCAGGAATAACATAGCTGGAGAGATGAAACTCTTTTTATACTTCCTCAACTTCCTCCACAGGGCATTTTAAATTAGCTACAGGGAGCAAGCCTGACACAGGGAAAAAATAAATTGTCACACCTTAAACTGTTCCAGCAAATCTAGGCCTAAATGAATTTATAGTTCAGGATGGCTAACGATTTTTCAAACTATTGCAACATAGTACAGGGAGAGAATTTCCCCTTCTGTCCTATTTTTGATCTTAGAGGAGTGGTATTTGTCCCCTATGGCTAATGTAGACTGAAAAGGACAGAGGTATGGGAAGGATTCAAAAAGATATCAACAAGAAAAATGAACTTGGCTTCATGTTCCTGAGCCTCGTAGCCTTCTATCCAGTACCAAGCCAAGAGCAGCAGCAACATCTGACAGGAAAATATGTTGCTGAAAAAAAAATAAAGACATAAAAAAAATCTGATTTGATATGTTACAGCCTTGAGTCTCCCATACATATCTTTAGTTGATGCACTAGTTGGTTTGCATTCAGTGCTCAAAAATGTTAACAGATACAGAATTCATAATACGTAATATTTATGTGAAATATTTTGCAACATCCCGCAGCTTTCAAAATTGAAGGAAATTGTGTGATTTTTTCAAAACTGTCCTGGGAAATTCTCATTTCCATTTTTATTTGTTTTGACATCACTGTATTTTTTTGCATGATAAAGGCTCACTGGTAATATGTATAAAAACAAGTCTAGGAATGAGTAATTTCTCTTCATTAAACACACAATTTTGGAAGCAGTAACTCTCTTTTTTTTTAATTTCATTTGTCTTCTATGACATTCAGTTATAGTGTTAGGCATAGTAAAAATAGGCTTTTCCTGTTGTATGTTCATCGCCATACAATGCAAAGACCCATCACAGCAGTGAATAACTCTAGCGAGCTTCAACTACAAGAGGTTAGAATAGCTGCTAACAAATGCCAATTATTAGCATCACATGTTCATGTGGGAGAGGGACAGCTTGTGTTTTACAATTTTAATCCCCCTGGGAGATGTAGAAAGTTCTTATTTCACTATAGCTAGTCAGAAGAATAGAAAATCAGCTTCACTCAAAATTTCTAAATAGTTCCTTTTCCTTAAGTTTCATAGTTTCTATTTTTCATGGTCAAAAATTGTTCAATATTTTAATAATGTTTTGTATGAATGCATTTATAAAAATCATGTAAAAAATCATTATAAAGTAAGGGTAAGTGGTAACGATACTGGAATCTAAGTCAATAAAAAAGTACTGGTAGCATTTGTCAGCCATTAGCAATTTTTCCTAATGTTGTAAGTTTTTAAGTGTTAACAAAATTCTATTTGAAAAAATATCCTAATTGGCCACAGTCATTTTCACAATGAAATAGTGTGGAAACATTTTGACTAGGCACCTATGTGACTTTGAAGCATTCAAGATAGACATGTTATACCTCTCTACAATAAAGAGGTACAGAAATTATATATCTCCTCTTCAGCAAGAGAGGTAGACATTCATGAGCAAGCAAAGTGAGCTCACTCAAAAGCAAAGCTACACACGCAAAACTCGTTTCTCTTTCCAACTAACCGTCTTGAGTTTGGGGTCCAAGAACCCCTGACCCCTGTGCTGAAGACCCATCAATTAATTTTGGTGTTGATGCTTCCTCCTCAGTCTCTTCTGTCAATGGTGCAGAAGAATAACTCTCTTGAATTATAGAAGGTAGTGCTGTCCCAATCTCTGCCTAGGGAAAATTAAGAGGGAACAGGAAATGTTATTGCTTACATCCACTGGCAGCTGTTTCTCTTCCAGTTATTCATATTTTCCCACTAGAGGTCGTATATGTTCTGAGGTTTAGTGCATGAGCTGTGTTTCACTTGGCAGCCGTAATGAATTCTGATGATGTGTAAACAACTCATGAATATGCTTATTATCTCAGTGTTTTAAATGTTTTGTTGTATGCACACAGACATGCACACTGTATCTACTTCATTAGCAAGAATATGTACTAATGAAATGCTTTTTCCACATTTATCCAAAGCTAAATTAGATTTGTAATAAAAATTGATGTGAGACAAATGAAAATTTGCTGTGAAATATAAAAAAGATGCAAGTCATTTGACCATAAAATTGTGAATTGTACCAGCATAAACCCAAATCCAATGCAGCTGTGCAGACTCTGTTTTAAGAACACTGATATGATTTAAAAACCTTATTATTTAAGAATTCTGAAGTCTAAGTTTACATACTACTTGCGAATATGTTGGCAGTGTTTTTGTCAATTTCTTTCTGAACCTGAATAATGGAAGGCTCTGGTTAGCTTCATTCATCAATGGCCACATTATGTCATACGAAAAAATTAACACTATAAATAAAATTGTTAGATAAAATCTTGATTTAGAAAAACACGATAAAATTTGGCAAATCCTTTCATGGAACTAGAAACTTTAGTTTTAGTTTTTCACTCCACATAATATGTCAAACTAGTGAGTTTTGTTGTTTTAACTCTGATTCTAAAGGTACATTCTGTTGATTTTGCTATATGACAACTTCAGGATAAAAAGGAAGATATAGAAATTTTCTTGCATTATATCACCCCTCACAAAAAGAGTATTGCAGACTTACCAGGCTTGTTGCAGAGGGGCCTACGTTTGCAAAGAGGCAGAGAGGTTTACTGTAATCACCCAGACACTGAGAATTCACTCTAGCTGTGTGACCTTTGCAAGTGACTTTCCCACTGTATCTTGATTTCCCCATGTGTAATAATATTGTTTGACCACCCCAGGACCTCCTTTAAAAATGAAGTTTGTTTTGGTTTGGTCTGTTTTGTTTTTTTTAAATCCCGAGCAATGAAACAGTGTCCTTATAGGGCTTTGCACATCTGAGATACTGTTTAAAAGTTAGGTAATACA